ATTCTGAATTTTTAAAGATGCAAATCAAAAGTGCATCAAGTGACCTTATTACATAAGCATGGATGACATCAGAGACTAAAGTGTCTCATTTGTCAATTAATCAGTCTTCCCATTTTTCCTCATTTCTATTATATCCAAAATTTAGGTGACTTTTCTCTTGCTGCAGATTTGCAACATGCTTTCTGCAAAGGATCAAATAAAACTGAGCTAGTGGGCCGGAGAAGAGAAAATTACAATCTCTGCAGGCATAGGAGGATGGTCTTCTACAGCATCTAGGACTGTGTTTTATGTTCCCTGCATCATCTTCTCTCTCCAAGGAGATGATAAACAGAAATTGGGCATCTTGTCTAGTTTTCACTGTCATTTTTACAGGTGGTTACACATGTAAAAGTTGTATGGTTTTATGGAAGTCTGAAATTTAGAGAAGCGTTGTCACCTCTTTTAGTTGTTCAGCTGAGACAAATTGTAAAAATTTAAATGCTGATTACTTTAGAATTGTGGACGGCATTACAGCTGCAGCTTTTTGTCTAAGTAATCCCTCAGAAAATTGTTGAGGTTCCATGTGTTAGAGTTGGATACTTCTGGAAGAGTTTGGATCCTGCACAATGAATTCATCAAGAAAAGAAAGAGCAAGTGATTTTGTAGTATAGGAATTGCTGGCGTTGATGCTTCAGCGGATCCATACTTGCCACAGTAGTCCCAGTTACCTGGATTTTCTCAGCAGGAGACATAAATATTAATAGGCAAACTGAGCTTTGGAAGATGAGGGTATATAAAAAATGGTTTTAAAATAGCAGAAGTGCTACTGAAACAGTTTCAACATTATACTTGCTGTCAGCGGGGATTTGCTATAAATAAGGACCCTTGTTTCTAGAACTATCAATGTTGTGGCTGTGTGGCAAAGCAGGTCACATTAACAGATGCTTTTGGAAAATGTTTTGCATTTGAGTCAAGTGGTGTGTGAAGTTCAGATATTCCAGGTCAAATTGTAATTTCATGTATTGTGAATCTCTCTAACCATGTTAAAGTCTGCAATACTTCACTGTTCTATTTTTCACTCTTCCTGCATAGCCGTGCAGCATGGCAAAAGTTAAAATCTCCTGGATTTATGTGCTGAGGGTGAACATGAGCGAGCTTTTGCATAGTTTTACTGCTTTTTGAAAACTGTGCAACCTGTTCTCTTTCCTAATGAAAGAAAACGGCAGCGTTTCAGGCTTGGAGTTACATGTGTGCCGTGCTTCTGGGAAATGGGCTTTGAGGGCTTTGGGTTTAAACACCTGGTATTTTCAGTTTTATAAGCCTGGAATAGTAATTTCAAGTTATATTTTTCCTGCGTTAATTGCTATAAATGTCTCATAATCTGTGGATATGTGCTGTTTAAAACAGGTGCAGTCACTTTAGTATTAATGATCAGTCAGTCTAATATGTGTTACTACTTAATTGCTTGCTTGGTGCAAAGAAGCTTATTTCCAAGGAATGTGTTTAATGATGTTTAATACCTTGCTTTGCCAAAGAGTAGGATGTTCTTCCTTTCACCTGAAGGAATTTGTTGTATGTATTTATTTTAATTTTTGCTTGGAATTATTTGTAACACCCAGCGTGAATGTGTTGAGCCAGAAGTTTTGATATCAAATGATTTAGTATAGTATATTCATGGAAATACTATCATTTACTTAGTGCAATAGGGATTTGTCATATACTCAGTATGGGGAATAGTACACATCACAGCACCTGATTTCTGTTGGATCTACCATAAAGCAGTATGACTCAGTCAATAAAATAAAGATATCCTGTGGTACAGTGGGCAACTGAGCGCTTTAGTGCTAGAACTATTGTTTTCTTAATGCAAGAATCAAAATTAAATTGCCTTCAGGCCAGTAGTTATGCCAGGGGAGGCTTGGCCCAGCGGACAAGCATTAGATGTAAATACAAAAATTTACCTGAATACTGCCTTCCTTAAGAAACAATGAATTTCACCATTTATTCCACTTAATGCCACATTTGCACATTATGAAATAAGATAATAAGATTAATTTTTGAGAGCTTAATTCTGTTGGATAATTTTTAATTGGGTAATGTGTTTTGTTTCTTGAGTGGAATCTCACAGGCTGACTACAAAACCACATAGAAAGCCTTCAGAGTTGTTCTGGGTGGTTAAATGGATGCAAGCGTAGGAAGGTCCGTAGTGTCATCAAAGACCTTCAACATCAGTGTCTTTCCTGGGGCATAGATGGATGGAAAGCATGCTAAACCACGCTGAGGAAAGAATTGACATGGGGAGAGCCCTGATCCCACTTCATACAAAGATGAACTCTAAGAAACAACATATAATAGTGCTCATTATGTTTCTAAATGTAATTGAAAGATGGACCTGTAGTTACTGAAGACAAAAATCAATGGTCCTGAATTCTGGTCATGTTCTAGTCTGCCACAGTTGTGCTGTGTGATTTTGGGCAAGACACTTAAATTCTCCTAATTTTCCATCTACAACGGTGATATTATTAAAAAAAAATGCGTAATAATCCAAAGTCTTAAAACAATGATTGCTGTATTTTCAGTGGTCCATGTAGAAGCTGTGCTGTCTGTGAGCATTACATGGTTGGAAAGTCATGAGGCGTGAGCCTACTTCTGGCAAGTCATCTTGACACAGTGACTATATTGAATTCACATTTCCAGTTGGGGGAAAAATGGGATTTGATATTGTTTTAGAAGATTGTATACATGTTTCTACATTAATATAGGCTCCCAGGATCAGAGGGAAGCTCTGACTGTCACAGTCCACAACATCTTTTGTAAACTGATAACCTTAAAAGATAATGCTCAACCTTAAAAGCTGCTCGTCCCCACCATTCCTGTTGGAAAGCTATTTCAAAATCTTGCTCCTGTAAGGATGTCATTTCTTCAGGGCTGATGCAACCATATTTTTTTTCTATTACTGACCTTGAACACTGCTAGGTGGGGTTTTGGGCCATTACAGTGTTTAGATATTTTGTATTCTGTAGCAGTTATTTTTCTCTCACCTTTGAGTCGTTACAGGCCAGAGAAGCTTCTTGCAAGACAGGCTGGCTGTTCCCTGTCATCCTGCTCACCCTTCTCTATACCCCTCTGCTTTCTAGGACAATGAACTCAAACTGAATTCCCAGAACTGTGCCAAGTATTTCAGCCTCACTCTTACCTTACACAGCAATGTTCCCCTGACGTGAAACAGCTTGTTTGATATTTCCTGCTGTTTCAAACAGGCCGGTAGATATCCAGATTACTTTCTTAGGTGTAACGGTTTTTATCAGCTGTGTCACCTTCAGTCTCAAAGCTGCTGCTGCAGGTACTGCTCATTGGGAAGAGACCTAATTTCATGAGCATCTCTCCACGATTAAACAGCCTCAAACCTTCCTGCCATATACTAATCCTTGAGCCATCTGGGATCTTTGTTATCCTGTTACGTGCCTACTTTATTTCTGTTGGAATCAGGAGAATTTAACGGAAGATCAATCTGATTTCCACTTGTTTAAACATCTTTCCCAACCTTAGCATTACATGTCCTAAAGCCGTTCTAGTGGGAACCTCATACTGTCACGTGTCACGATTTGAGACAGTTACTGACATCTTCCCCTCGCCTGTCAAGTTCCTTTTCTGCCTCACATCTGCTGCTTTTAGCTGTGCTCCCCTCGGGCAGAAGACCCTTCTGCTCTGCATCTGCTCTGGTTAAAGGCCTGTCAGTCCTTCCCGAGGAGTCCTCAGTTTCAGGATCATCTTCCCTCCCTTCTGGTCTGCCTTCTGCTCTTGCCATCATGTTTCCCATCCTTTCACGTCATCTAATTATCGTTCCCGTTCTCTCTTGGTCCCTGGCTGCCTTCACTCTCTTTCTCTGCTTATAGGACTACCTGCTCTTCTCCTTTATTGTGCCATCTCTGTTCCTCGTACTCTGTTATAATCAAATTTTTCCTCAAGCTGTTTTTCGGACGTCTTCCTTCAGACTCAGTGTGGCTGTCAGCAGTTTTATTGTCTTCCCTGGTTGCTGGCTGTGTTGAGTCTTTTGACTGATCCCTCTGACCAACTCTCCCTCAGCTGTGATGAAAAGCAGGGAAGCTCTGCCTAAACCCCAAGTTGCTTATGGCCAATGGATGTTTGAGATCTAGAGCACCTTCCATGGTCCTAGAGTAAGTGACAGTGTCACACAAATGCTTGCAGAGGACTTAATTACACCAGAATAAGTTAGTTCCTCTCCTCGTGTAAGAAGGTGGTGGTATCTTTCAGGCTTGTACTTGAAGTTCTCTGTCCTTGAAGGTTCAGTGTTTGAGCTGGATTGTCTATTCAAGAGAGTGCCTCCATGCTTACTTATGTTAAAACTATCTTACAGACCTTCCTGGAAATAATATCTTTGCATCTTCTCTGCACGTTTTCCAAACAAACCCTTTGCATATCAAAATGTTTGCAAAAATAGACATGGTGAGCTTTTTCAAATTCAGTCGATCCCATTGAATAACTGAGGAGAAGAAGGAGTTTTGCCAGGTCAGTAAGAATCAGGCAGTCGTGCCTTGCTGATGCCTTGAGTTCCTGAGGCAGGGAAACCGCAGGTATAACCCTCCACTGAAGGCTAAGGGTTAAAGGATCAGTGTTGAACATCCCATGAAGCATTTCATTGGGATTTTTCCCAACAGCAAATGTAGCACCTGGTTTTATATAGATTATTTCCATCAAAGAAATGAGTCTTTATAATTTTTAGACTAGAAAATATTTCACAATTACTCAGGGCACAGACAAAATGACCAGAAATACAAATAAAGGCCAAGACCTCACAGCAGCTGAATCTTTTGTTTTACTCGACAGTGGGCTGTGCAACACACTCGGTCATGCTCTCTGGAGCCACGAAACGAAGGAACCCTGTTGATGTTTACTTTGCCTCAAGGCAGAGACAGTTGTTTTAAGTGAGTTCATAAACGAAGTAGAGAACTATGCTGGTTTGTATAATCTTCTTTTCTCCTTTTTTTTTTCTCCTCTAGGTCACTCAGATGAGTCGTCCAGATTTGATTCTCTTTCTCATGAAATATCTCATGGCTTTGGTTGTTGGGATACCTTCTGTCTTCTGGGTCGGAAGCAAAAAGACCTGTTTCGAGTGGGCCAGCTTTTTTCATGGACGCAGGAAAAAAGAGTGCGTATTGATATCTCATAGATAAATTGGTTGAGTACTGGCAAATAATCTCTTCCTTTGTAGTCCTGGAAGAGTATTTTGGTTAGTTTTTCATGGAGGCAAAGACGGGAATAGATAAGGGCAGTTTTCTTAGAAATCTCTCACCGTCCAAAATGGAGCAAGGAAGGACAAGACAAGCAACAACTCAAAAAACCCCCGAAGAATTGTCGCTTGTTCTTCCATATTTATTCTTCAGCCCCAGAATCAAATCTACATTGCTCCATCTGCTTTCAAAATATTTTTTAATGAGAATTAGGTATCAGTTAAATATTACAACTTCTCTGCCATTTACTGAGAGGTGGAATAGAAAGTTTTTATTTATAAATGTGCTTATCTAGTCAACTGAATCAGACCTTTAAATTGAAATTAAACTTAAGTTCTTTTTACCGTGATTGCAGTTATAGGTAATTGTCTCTGCTCTTAATCTTCCCTTAGGCATTAGTGCCAAAGCACAGCTTGATAAAATGACAGTAAGAATGTCTTATAGCTTCTGTGAGATTGGAATTAATTTAAACTGAGGTATAGCATAAAGTTAGAGACAATCCATATGATTATGTAATAGCTATGAATAGCTGTTTTCATAACTGCAAATATTGTCTTGCAAGTCAATGTTTCAAAACAGATGCACAAATACAGCAAGGCTTTAAGTGACTACTCCCTGACTTTGAGTTCTTAACAGAACTGGCCTTCTGCTGAGGTTAAAGTAAAATTACCTTCTGTAGAGTTGGAGTAATTTTTTCTTTATTCGAAAGACAACCTACTAAGATACGTGTGGGGTTAACAGCAACTTAATATGATTTAAAATACGTGTACATACACTTAGATAGGATTTACATAGAGGTGACTTACTAGTTTGGTGGGGAGAGGACAGGAATAGAGTTGATGAAGGTAGAGGAAGCTGTTTTACAGGACTGTCTTATCTTGGACGTGCTATCTCAGGGAGAGCTGGGTGGCTCCTTGAAGCGCCATCCTCTCTCCTGGTGCAATGAGGCAGCAGAGCAGCTCCCACACACGGCAGCGTCTGGCTGGAGCCAGATTCCTTTGCCGGCCCCATTCATTCCTGGAGCAGAGCTGATTTAAACCTCCCTCCTTAGGTAGCCTGTGATCTTCTGTGAGCACAAAAATTAAGAGGAGGAGCTAGCCAGGCGGAGGAAACGGAACATGAAAGAATAATGTAGAGAATGGGAGGGGAGGAAGAGGCCTCCCCACAAAAAAAGAGATTAAAAAAAAAAAAAGAAAAAAAGAATGTCGAGGATGTGATAGCATCTCCTTTCATCATGCTGTGGTAGAGCGGCCAAGTGTGTGCCCCTCTGCCAGCCCTTCCCAGTGGGATTTCAGAAAACAGAGGAGCTGTGGGACTGTAACCACTGATCTAAGGGCTACAGGCCAGTTGCTTATGCATTACTAGATAGGTTGTGTTTCATCTGGTGTTCTCCCCCTGCTGCTGGTTTTAATTCAGATTTTAAATGCTCATTTGAGGGAGGAAGCAGCTTCCCGTGTTCCCTGAGAGGCAGCTCCCTGGGTAATCTGAGCTTGCTGAGTCGCCCCGCTCTCCCAAGGATTTTCTTGCAACAATATTCACAGACAAAGGCCATAAGCAAATACACTGCAATTATTTCACATACCTAAGCTAGAGGATCAGATACAGGGAGTAGGAAGGATTCCAGAATATGGACTTTGCTAAAATATCCAAATGTAGAGGTGCTTCAAAATTAGGCAAATAGAGATATTATAATGCAAATAAATGATCTGGTTTGCCAAGCTGTAACATTTGTCTGTTCCGTTTGTGAAATAGTTATAGTGCTGTTACTGCGATCACTCTATATTGCAGTCATCAGTGTTAACCACTCTAATGGCTGTCTTGTGCAGAGTTGTAAACGAGAGTCGTCAAGTGCTGCAGGAGCCAGACTTTGCTCAGTCTCTTCTGAGAGATCCCAATACCCCCATCATCCGAAAGTCCAGAGGCACTTCCACCCAGGGCACCTCCACTCATGCCTCCTCCACCCAGCTGGCGATGCTGGACGACCAAAGGAGCAAAGCAGGCAGCGTCCACAGCAAAGTCAGCAGCTACCACGGCAGCCTGCACCGATCGCGTGATGGCCGGTACGTCTCCTCTCTTCAAAATCTTGTAGGAAATCGGACAAGCCTCTGCTAAAAACTAGAAGTTCTGCTAGTATTTACTTTCTCTGATTGCATCACCTCTCCCTCTTAGTGTCTGGGTTGGAAAGAGAAAAAAATCTCATGGTATTTTCAGAGTCTGCACTACTGTTCGTGAATTATACGGCGTGAATGTGTTCGGTGCTGGTTTTCCAGCAAAGGCAATGATCTGTGTTACCTCATCTAAGTGCATGGGAAAACGGATCTTGCCCAAAGTCAGTGTAGAATTTTTGTGGCCTCTTTCGTCTATGTGTAAACTGATTTTGTTTCTGTAAATAGTCCCAGCCCCGCTGAAGTAAACAGCAATAAAAGTTACCTGCTCTGACTTAAGGTGTAGTTAAGGTTTATAACGTAATTTATCATCAAGTATTTTACTCAGCTAATTATCAATACTATACACAGCGCTGTAGTAAGAACCAAGCTGCTGAGGAGTTGACACGATTTGCCGGGGGCTGTGTAAGCTGAATGAGTAAAGCTGAGCAGAGAACGAGACTCTTCTCACAAAAGCAGAGGGTTTGCGTGCGCGCGCACACACACCAAGATTTATTTACATTCTTTCATGACTGCAGTGATAACGATAGTAATAATTGTCCTCTTTTTTAATGAATCAGGTACACTCCCTGCAGCTACAGAGGCGTAGAAGAAAGACTACCTCACGGCAGCATGTCACGACTGACTGATCATTCCAGGCATAGCAGCTCTCATCGGCTTAATGAACAGTCGCGTCACAGCAGCATCAGGGACCTCAGCAGCAACCCAATGACACACATCACGCACGGGACCAGCATGAACCGCGTTATCGAAGAGGACGGCACCAGCGCTTGAGTCGCCGCGATCGGAAAGGAGTCGCTGGTGTCGCTGCACGGCTCACGGTGTGCCCCTTGGTGATGTGGTAGCGCTCAGTATTATCCTGCCTCTCATCGGGTGCTGATCGTGCACATCGGGAAGCCGGAACTGGCTTCTTCGTGTTGAAGCCAGCGTTCTTGTACTTGCATCAGAGCTAGAGTGTTCAGCAATCTTGAATTATTGTTGAGTAAAAAGCCGGTTGCCTCATTTGAACCTATCTGTAGGTAATTATTTATTCAATAACTGTTACTCATCAGATGCCATTGCTGAATTTCTTGTTCTTTGTTGAAAAAAATCTCCCCTTCCCTCCGAAGGCTCTGCATGTCGGTAGGTGTTACCCTTGAAAACTGGCTGGCAGGGTCACCCTGAGATTATTTTCTTATAAGGCATAAGGGAACTCTGGAATATTGAAGGAATTCCTCCGCGCACCTCTCTGATTAGAGAACAAACTGATACTTGTTTTCACCAAGCCCAGGGGGAGGGGAGGCGTATTGAACGCTGTTTAAAGGACATCTGTGCAGGTTTTTAATGATTACACTGGAAACGCATCACAGGGATGAGCGTTCTGGAGAAGGAAAGGAAAGGAAACTCCGCTGATGGTCACCAGCTCTTGGCAGAGCTGTTCAGGCTCGGTTGTTGGGGTGGGGTGGGAGGGTGGGGGGAAGGGAGACCCAGGGGGAGGGGAGGCGTATTGAACGCTGTTTAAAGGACATCTGTGCAGGTTTTTAATGATTACACTGGAAACGCATCACAGGGATGAGCGTTCTGGAGAAGGAAAGGAAAGGAAACTCCGCTGATGGTCACCAGCTCTTGGCAGAGCTGTTCAGGCTCGGTTGTTGGGGTGGGGTGGGAGGGTGGGGGGAAGGGAGAGGCAAGGAAGAGTGATTTTTGTATAACTTGTATCGTCCTTGCTTTTTTACAAAATACTATTTAAATTTTCTACTTGTTTACAATTTATGTAGGAAGAGATCGATTTTAAAACCAGTTATCTAGATAATATTCCGCCACTTATTTTTTAGAGTAATGTGCAAAAGCTGAGATTGCCTGTTCCTGATCTATTTAAAAAAAAATAATAATAATAATAGAAAAGCTGAATTTGTTGCCCAAACTGGAATGTACAGCCTTTTCCTTACAAACAGAACAGATCCTGTTTAGAAACTCCACAGCCTGGGTGAGGAAGGCTGAGGCCTAAACGGGCAGGAGGAGTTTAATCAGGGATGACCCACCTTCCTTGCAATATCATGGCTATTTTTTTGGGAGGATTCTCTTTGCGCTGAGCAAGCAGGGAGCAAGAAATTTTTCCCTCTGAGGGTGGTGAGGCGCTGGAACAGGTTGCCCAGAGAAGCTGTGGCTGCCCCATCCCTGGAAGTGTTCAAGGCCACGTTGGATGAGGCTTTGAGCAACTTGGTGTAGTGGAAGGTGTCCCTGCCCGTGGCAGGGGGGCAGGAACTGGATGATCTTTGAGGTCCCTTCCAACCCAAAGCAGTCTATGATTCTATGATTCTAATTTCAAAATGAGTGGGAAAAGTCGAGGCAGGAGCTGCCCACAGGTCGGGAAAGAGCGGGATGCAGCAGCCAGAAACCCACTGCATTGCTGTCTTGAGGAGGAGGAGGCAGGTGTCCACCGTAAATAGTTGGCTCCTTCCCAGCCAAGGAGCTTCCATTACTGACCAACCTCTGCTGCAGGTTATTTTCTTTTCATTCCCTACTACAGATTCACAGTAGAGAATTCTCAGTTTGGGCTTTTTTTGTGTGTAAATAACCTGTTGGGGCACAGCAAGTCTTTCCTGACACTGCAGGCAAAAGTCAAGGCATGTCTTGGATGGTGCATTAGATCTTCCGAAGCATCTCATGTAAGATTCATTCAGCGTGAGGAAACACTGATTGCATTTAAACCTACCTCAGTAATTACTACACATCGTTGCTGGGAAATGAATACTTTTTTTTTTTGTTGTCCTTACATAATTCTCTTTTTGACCTGTTCGAGGCGTGTTGGAAAGTCTTTGTACGTGCTTAGATGGCACAGCCTCAAGGGCAAGAATAGGGCAACAGCCCGTGGTGCGAACTTCAGAGGCTTTGGTGAGCAGCAGAGACGGAGCTGCGCTACGGCTGCTGGCTTTAGTTGCAGCTGATGACACGACAGCGAAGTGCAGCACCACATGCGCTCTGTGAAACCAAGGGCTGCCCTGGCCGTCGCCGTGTCTTAGAAGTATATTTACTGCAAATTGTCTTTCTTGCTTCCACCAGGCTTTTGCTCCAAAGGAGAAGCACGAACCAAACCCGACGTGGAATAACAAAGCTTAGCAACAACTCCGCGCTCTCTTTAGGGTAGATCCAGGGAGGGATGTTGCTGCACCGACCTCCCCGGGGCAGAGCAGACTCTCTGCTTTGCCGTTTGCTCTGCAAACAGCCCCAGGGAACGTCCGGATACGCAACATCATCTCTTTCAAAGCAGATGGGTATGAAAAATCTTTTGAGTGACTTAAACTGGCAAAACCGACAATACCCTGTAAGCCACAAAGGTGGAACCCTTCTTTAGTTTCAAATTCAACTTCTATTAAATAACTTTCTGCTTCAAAGGGATGATAGTTTTAGGGAGCTGGATCTGCAGAAGGAGCTGGGTCACTGAGTTTTCCTAAACACTGTAACCGAACTGAAGAAGCTCAAGCGTTTATGTTGATCTTCTTGGCTCAATTTCCAGTACTTTTATTTTTTTTTTTTTAAATTGTAGCAATGCCTTGACTTGTTTAGAGTCAGGGAGGGGAACCTTGATGGAGGTTTGAAATACATCCTGCTTAAAATGTTGTTAATTTGTGAGGTTTAGTCCCTGTATTGTTTCCAGATGGGAATATCGAAACTGCTCCTTACTCACGTATCCTGTACACAAGGGGCAGACTCCTCTCACCCCAGAGAGGTGACTGAAATGTAAAACTCAAGTTCTGGCTGGGATTTATGCCCCTCTTCTACTTCCGTACTCCCCAAATCTCCCTTTTATCTTAACACCTGAATTTGCATGCCGCGCTCTGTTTTTGCAAAGCTTTTCTGCCCGGGATTTCCAATCCTGTTACCAACGACTGTTTCGGGTTTCACATGTAAGGTTATTGCCCCAGCCCTGACGCGGTTCCCCAGCCGGGGCACTTCCAGGGCTTCAGCTCCCAAATCATGGTGCTTGGGGGCTCTGAAGCACTTCCCAGTTTGAAGGCAGCCCAGCTGCCATCTCTGGCAGGGGTATCTAGCCGTGTTTCTGGGGTGCTGTCCCATCTGGCACCCCCTGCTCACCGGCAAGAGCTCCAGCTCAGCCCCCTGCTTTCTGGGACCGGTGCCAATCTTTACATTCCCCCGGAGCTTAAACCCATGCCCAGGATGGCAGTTCTGCAGTTCCTGAAACACTCCGGTTGCTTTGGGCTTCAGCTGATCTAACGTACCTGTAGCTGAACACATGTTCCTGGGGATTTAGGAGCAGCGCTTTGTGCCCCTCCCACAGACACAATGCCACTGAGCACCTGACCCTCCCTTCTCCGAAGCAGGCAGAGAAGTTGGACATAGCCCAGTGGCTTCTCCTGCTCATCCCAACGGCAGGTTAATGTATCTCCGTCCTACGCATACGATGACTGAAGCCCCAAAATACTGCTTTGCAAGATCGCGATATCAAAGCTTACTGTAAAATCCACTGCTGCTTATTCCCAGTATTCCTGGGGATCTGAATCTCCTGTTTTATCCTGTTGTGAACGCATCACTCCCTTGGCAGGGAGCAGAGTGGCACAGTGTGCTTTGCCCTGAGACCTTTGGTGTCCTGTCCAAGCAAAGCAGGAGACGGCCGGGGGCAAACGAGCGCTTGGCTGCAGCTGGTGAGTTACAGACATTGGCCCGATTGCCACTGGCAACGGATCCCCCTGAGTTTGTGATGTTCCTCCTTTCTTCATCTTTCCCACTGGATCGGTAGCACTCGTCTTTTTAAAGCGTAAAAAATCCAACAGCAGCAAAAAGCCACACTGAGTTGTAAATTTATTTGTCTGCTCTCAAGTGCTCTCTATTTTCTTGGTGCTTAGTCCTAAATTTTGCTACGGAAGCTTTAGGTACGAGCTGTGCCTGGGGCCGGTGGGGAGCACAGGGCTGAATGGGGCGGCCACAACCGAAGTCCATCCACAGCCAGATCGAACACCACTGCCAGGTCATTCCAGCAAGGAGGGGAGGGAAAATCCCTCAGGAAGGGCCCGGGAGACTGGGAGAAGAGCCTGCAAAGTCAGGGCCAGCCCTTAGTGTGATGCCGACCCTTCAGGGGAGCCAACCCCGCAGCCCAGCTCCGGGGGGTGAGGACCCCCAGAAAGGACAGTGGCAGGGAGCGGCAGCCCCGGCTGCACCATGAAACTGGGTGCAGGGCTGAGCAGCCCGAAGTTCACTGTCAACCGCAGGATATTGAAATGAATGTGAAATTTCACCCCTGTCCCAGGGTACTTCATTTCTAACCGGATCGGGATTTATCCTCACTCAGGGCAGGATGTTTTACGCGCTGTGTGCCTGTCGCGAACGGCTGTGGGGTCTGTGCGCTGGAGAACTTGGTGCATGTAACGGCACCGCCGCCTCTTCCAACACCTTCCCTCAACGCGCTCGTGTTCATGTTGTGATTGCATCCGTTTCGGAATGAGAGAGGACAAAGCTTTCGTGTTCATGAGAGCTGTAGGCAGAGGGAGCGCGCGGCCGTCGGCGCGGGCGGAGCCTGCCCGTGGCTGACTTGACTCGCACTCAGCTCTCGGTAGGCTCCTTAAGTGTTGGTTTTGTAACGTTTGATTTTTAGCACTTTAACTGTGAGTGTGCAAACTGGTTATATTGTAGTAGGTGTATGTTTTCGTTTTAGACCTTCAAAAGTTTTTAATAAAACGATGGAAAAATCCGAGTCTCTCTGTCAACAGGATTTCAAACCCTCTCTGACGTGTGTTAACTACACCCTCTCTTTAGAAACCCAGTTCAGAGGCAGCTAA